TATACTGAGCTATGTGTTCCTTATCGAGTTTCTCATAATGGGGATTTCTCTCCTATTTTTATTAACGCTTGCTAAAGTACTTTTCTCAGCAAGGTTCCTTGGTTCGAAGTTCACAAGAAGAGCAATAGAATATTGAAGAATGAGAAGATAAAGAAAAGTAAAACAAGAGAGGGCAATTTAGTTCAAAAAGTGAATTTTTTTGTTCAGTTCACCATGTTTGTTATTTATTTCTCAACATATCTGATTTTGTTAATTCCTCAAACTTAAGCTATGTGTTCGAATTCATAATTATGAAATCCGATCAGGTCTTCGGATCAAATCGAATTGGCTCTTTACCGTGTCAGATTAGATTCGGATATACGTTAATTTATATCCGATCTGGTCCATTTGCATCCCTACTTCCTATGAATGATCTAAATATTGATGGCTTTTTCGCTAGATGTGGAGGACCAGAGGATATTCATATTTTTAAGTTTTGTAATTATGCAAAACAAATTTGGATGGAAGTAGCTCCAAACATCGAGGGGCCCAATAAATACGACTAGAGGTGTAAATTGGGCCGTGCTGCTCGTGGCTTGGCACGGCCTGGTCTGATTTTGGACTAGCCCAGCATGGCCTGATACGATGGCACGCGAGCTGTGTCAGGCCCGGCATGATCATGTGGGTCATGTTGGGCCTGGGGTTTTAGGTCCACGGGCCGGGTTGGCACGGCACGACCGAGCGGGCCGTGCCACCTACGGCCTATGGCACGACTCATATATATTATTTATATATATTTTATATATTTATATATAATATATAATGTTTTTATATAAATTATAATTATATAATAATATATTAATAAAATAAACAATTGTTTTCAATTTTATTATATTAATTTATTTAATTATTATATATATAAGCAATTGTATATATCAAAATTTATATAAAATTAAAATTTTAAGTTTTTTTAAAAATTTTTTAAATAAATAACTTTGGTCTAGTCCACGGCCTAACCTGTCCCAAGGCTTGGCCCATGAACCAACCCCACCCGCGACACGGCACAGGCCCGGCCATGAATCATACCGGGCCGACCTCCCAAATTATCCCAAACAAGAGCATCATAACACATATCGTGCCCCAAGTTACACCTCTAAATACGACCAAATAAGAGAATGGTGAAAAAGAGTTTCAAAAAATAATAACAATGATTATATATGAGAATAGAATTGAGAGAATAGCTTATATATTATGGGAGTAAACCAAATGTATGGGAGCCTATAAAGATATCAATTTATCTCAGTTTCTTAGGGTCGACACAGCAAGATCAAGCCATAGCGCAAGTCCCAATTAATTAATTAATGTCTTGGTGAATTACAGCCACACAAAAAGCTCTCATGTTAATTAGTATTACTATTTTCTTCAGTCAATCTCCCATTAAAGAGTTATCTAAGCAAGAGGCCACTTATTTGGTGGACCAAATCATATAAGTTGTAATGGGGTTGGGTGAAATCAACCATTCAACTATTCATCTTTCCTTATCTATAGTCTGGGTCAGTTTTTATGTAAAGATTCAAAAAAGCTAAGCGCATAAAGCAAAAAGCAAATGGTGATGTTACAGGACATGCCTTTACAAAAGCCAAAAGGCATATGTTATTCTCCATTGAACATATAAAGTACTATAAATCATGGTTTTTAATATCGGACTGGATCGTATGGTCGGACCAGAAAAATCAGGAATCAATTAGTTGATCGGTTTTATTTTTCATCAAAATTGGATTTTTGCCAAAAAGCGTTGATTTGATCAATAAATCATTGACCTGAATAGTTGAATCATTTGAATCGTACAACAGTTTTGACTGTTTTTTAATTTTTTTATTTTTTGTCAGAACGGGCCGACCATTTGGTTCGAACGATTAGACCATTCAACCCGAGAATTGGACCCCTAATCGGTTCGTTATCCGGGTCGGTTTTAAAAACCTTGGTATAAATAGTAGAGTGCAAAGTGCTGTATTTTGTATGTATTTATACTATATATATTTATATTTATGCTCTTTCTAAATTAAGCCTCGAAAGAAGTACCAATACAAATATGTAGAGTGAAAAACCTTGTATTTTATATTATTTTACATGTATTTATACTATACAAATTTGTATTTATACTCTTTCCAAATTAAGCCTTTAGGGACATTTGATTCATCAAATGGTGTAGTCTAATGTACTCTCTAAACCAGTCAAAACATGGCTGCTA